GACTATCGCAACGTCCCTTATCAGCCCCTATCGGTTGATAGAACCAACGCCTTGCTGATGTGCGAAGCTGTGAATTTAGCGACTTCCCTCTTTATAGCCTCTTATCGGATCTTATCAGCTGTGATAACGCTCTGTCACCTGAAAATAGTGTTCACGTCCCACTGGCCATATCACGTTTTGGAAACCACTCTTCAATTGGTGTGACACCTGACCCTAGCTTCCAAAGTGGCTCTTCAGGTAGAACTGAATTTCCGGACAGACAGACGTAGCAAATTATATAAAGTAGATTCTTACCCTGGCAGGTGTATATCAGTCGTCCTTGATCGTCTGCAGTTGCACCGATAGCTCGGAAACCTTCCGCACAGACGCATTCCGTTCTCATCGGAGTTCCTAGAGAAGACGGTTAGCATTAAACCATGGTCTTGTTTGCCGCGGACGCTGGGGCGTGTCAGGAAGGCTAGGTTTGTGGTGCCGCGAGCCAGTTATCCACCAAATGTTGAAGCGAGTGAGCGACAATAACTTGTGGCAACTGGTTGGCGCCGCGTCAAACTCAGCCCACCTCCCTGACGCGCCACAGCATCCGCCGCGAACAAGACATTGTAGTGCTGGCATTTGAGAGCGAAACTGCCATCAGCAAATTTACAAATATGAGTAAATAGTTACCATCGACTGGCCGACATTCAGTATGCTCAGGACAAACAATGTTTCCGCAGCGTTCATCCTGGAAACTTTTAGGGTGATGACTTGGAAATTGTTACCTTGGCTTTCCAACCATCGTATGGAAGAAAGGCGTTTCCGAGGGCTCCGAAACACTGCTTGTTTGACGTGTCGCAATCCAAAAGAAATTGCTGAAATCGACATCTTGCAGATGCAACTTTATAGGTATTGTCAATCTGGTTGCAAAGGCTGCAGCGTATCAGGGGTTTGAGCTTGGCGCAGCGCACGCACGTTTTCCACCAATCGTAGTCGCCTGCCCGCTTCAACAAGATGGGGAACGGGGTCTCGCAGCACCAAACCGATTCCTGATACGCCTCAGGGTCTGCAGCAAAAACGACTGCATGCGTTACGCGATTGTGAAAAGCGCCGCCCCCACTTGCACGCAGATCACTGGTAATTAGGAGTTCAATCCCAATGTCGCTCTATTTAATCAGCTCGACTCTTGGTACCAGGGTGCTTGTGGGGACACAACCCCAGTCCACATTTCGGGTGCGTCTAGGTACTTATATGGTTATGAGCGCGGCTGTGTATCTGTGGACTCAGCGTCAGAGCACGCCATCGCGTTGAGATGAATTCCTGCAAAACACGATCCATCCTCTGATACGACCCCCCTCCCCGTCCTACCTACCACTTTCCTAGAATTTCCAACTTCGGGGGAGGGGGAGGTCGTCAGGAACTAACTACTATTCTCAACTATCGGAAATAGTAGTATAAATCTTTGGTAGTGCCGCCAACTAGGAGGGGGGAGGTTCCCAACGTCGCAAAATCCTCTCAAAGACAAATACGACCCTCCCCTCCCAACAACGAGCAAATACGACCCCGTCCTTTATAGAGTCCGTGGACCCGTGAAACAAGAGAAATCAACTATCAAAAAATTTTTTCTCTGACCAAATACGACCCTCCCCCTCCCTCGCGGTCTGATACGACCCTCCCCATTGTGATTATCACAACGATGGCGTGCCCTGCTCAGCGTGCAACATCGTTGTGCGAAACCCATGGAATGGGTCGTATTAGGTTGCTAGGAAAGAAAGGGGGGAAGGGGGCTTAATAGAAATTTTTCTGACTGCGATAAGAACAGAACCGATTAGGGGATAGAGATTTATAGACGATCAATCCTGGACCACACGTGCAACCTCCTGTGCCACGAGACCTAGCAGTGCCCACTGATCAATCAACACCTATCTCCCTGGGTACCTAAAACCAGTACCTAATGTGTGAATGTTTTGATCAAAAGTACCGTAGCAGCGCTGAGGGCTAATTCCATTACTCCAGGAACATGCGCATAGGTCCACGGCTACCTCCATGAAAGCTCAGGAATGCGACATTGGAGGTCACCGCGGAGATGATCTCATAGTCGATGCTCATAGTCAATGCTGTCCGTGAAGTCGAAAATGTCGCGAATCAAGGGACCGGCGAAAATACCATTCCACAAAAAACAGGAACGGTAGTGGCAGTAAAACGCTCGAAATGTTAACAAAAGCCCATTCTCCATTTTTTCAATGGTTTTCTTTTGCACCTCGGAAGATTAAGCACGGTACTGCCCAAATCCGAACGTTTTGCCCATAACACAGCTTCCTCGGGGCAACTCTCCCTCGAGCCGAAAATACCCTTTGGTGCACATTCTCTGATTCTGCGAATCGTCTGTTCCAGTTGCCTTTCTAACCAGATCACACCGAAATGTTGGTTTTCAACAAGTGCGGATGGCTTTTGATGTAGGAGAAGACCTAGGCATCCCGGGGCATTTAACACACTCTATAGACGTTTCTGAGGGAGACGTGTGCCATATTCGCGTTTAGGAGCTCGAATTACCCTTCTGGTCAGAAGCAAACTAAAAAGTTTTGTCGTAGCTTATAAAAAAAATCGAAGTGACAATCAGAGAATGGTCTTGGGATTGATTTTTCAAAATTAATAGGAAACCCAGACCAGCAACGGAGGAGCAGTCCGGAAATGCTGGAAATGGTGGGGTGAAACCAGGGCACGCCATTGCGTTGTGATTATTTCCTGAAAAATACGACCCCTAATTCCATCCTCAAATACGACCCCCCTCCCCATGCTACCTACCACTTTTCCTAGATTTTCCCAACTTCCTACCACTTTTTCCATTTTTCCCAAAATTTCCAGTTTTTCAGCCAAGAATTTTCCGTCGAGAGAGGGGGGGGGTCGTCAGGATTTAACTATCATTTTCAACAATCGGAAATAGTAGTTGTGTTCGTTGCCAGTCCCTATACCGACAAGCCAAATACGACCCCCCTCCCGGGTCAAATACGATCCACCTAACTCGCGGTCAAATACGAACCCCCCCCCTGTTGTGAATATCACAACGATGGCGTGCCCTGGGTGAAACTCCGAAGAGGTTCCAGCGGGCTGCAGTAGGCAGAATAGGTGTGTCCGACAGCGGATAGAGAGAGCATGGGCCCTATATCGTGTGTGTAAAATAGAACAAATGTAAAATATATAAAATTCTGGAAAACCCGTGAGCAAGATGAAGTTTTTTTTCTCGAAAGCGTGGCTCAAATTTAATTCGAAATAAGTCTCAATGTTGAAATCAGGGCAGTCCCTAACCTTTGAGAAAGTTTTTGCAAAATGCTACTCTCCCTAGTTTCCTCCTCTTGTGCGTCACCCCTTCCTTTGTTACCTAACACTTTTTGGCTTTCTCATATTCCTACCACTTTTTTCCGGAATTTTCCAAAAGTTGCCAATTTTCTTCGAAATCTTGCGACGGGAGGGGGGGGAGGACAGGGTTGGCACCAAACAGCTACTTAATTCGAGAATAGTAGTTGTATTGTAATTCTTCGGCGCCGCAAACCAGGCCGCAGGAGCAAATGCTGTCTAGCAATCGAGGACCTATCCTAGAGATTCCCCAGCGTACGGCGTGCTCTGGCCTAATTAGAGCCCAGTGAGCGCGACGCCGCGCTTAATTATGTAGAGGCGAGCTTATCAATCTAGTTTAAGATTATTTTTTACCTTGAAAATCTTTTCGTTGTTACGAAAAGTGCCTGAGTCATGCAGTTTCAGCATCAGCTGCAGATGTGCGACTAAAGATCCTTGAGTGAAGTTGTTGAAAACGAGCTTGATCAAGTTGACACCGTAGACTTGGTCGAACTGAAGCAGCAGTTACAGGAGTTCGAAAATGTCCTTCCCAGCGGACTGGCCGCCCATGTAGTTCGTATGAAGAAGCCAGCGAAGGAGGTCTACAGGGATAATGATCGTAGCTGCAGCGGGGCCACTGCAGCTACGATCGTTATCCCTGCAAACGAGAGGGTGTGTGAAAGCGCATGGATTGGACCGCAGCCGTGGCAGCCTTTTCTACCACCTATCCGAGACCGCAACAACTGATGTGAAAAGGTGCCCTAGCTGTGCTGCAATCAACGTCCCTTCACACGCCCTCTCGTTTGTAGGTATAATGGCTGTGGTAGTATAAGCTGTCCATCACAGGCCAGTGAGTATGATGCTGGTGGCGGTTGGTTGTTCGACAACGTAACTGCCGGAAGGGCTACGAGAGACAACTTTCGCCTTAAACAAAAATAAAAAAAAAACAAACAACCCCACCCAGTCCGTCTACCAGTGACGTTGGCAGCAATCGCCCGCCTCCAATCATCGTGCCAACTACCTTCAGAGTAATTATTCCAACTCACTGCCGCCTGAATCACCCGTCTAGCCGAGATCGCTTCAGGATGGGTAAGGTTGTTGAAGATCTCAGAGTATGGCGTTTGTTTGAAGATGAGTGTGATGGTGACTTGTTCGCCAACTGAAATACTTTATGTACGTTAGGGCAATGAATCTCACAGGGGAATTTCGGAGAAAACATCCATATAAAGCAATAAGTCAATAGTGATCGCAGCACTTCAATGAAACCTGCGTACTATGAACCTTGTTTGTTGTTTACACTTGGATACAAACTCGCTACCATTGTCAGTAGCACTTATGCTACGTAACACGCTGAGAAAGAGTCCTGGTTCTGTATGAATGCACACCCGCAGGTCTCTTTCGCCGCATTCGCTTGCGTCTCGGATGAGCCTTAACGGCCAGCCGTTCAGGACTTCGGAAACGGCAAGAGCCTCGGTCGCGCGCTTCGGCGAGTCGATGCTCATGTTCAACTGCACTGATAGGAATCCAACGCGACCGAACGCGCGCGTCGCGAGTCTGAACGCTGACCTAAACATTATTCCCCCCCCCTCTCCTCTAACTCCTTCCCCTCTCCACGGCCGGCGTGTGAAAAAGGTTCCTGAAGCTGTATACCACTTAAACGACTCGAACGTCTTGGGTTGAAACGCTTGGCTCGTGATTTATCATTTTCCAGGGCCGCTATGACGAAAGACGTCCACTGGAAGTACTTTTTGGCATCAGAGAGTCTCTCTTGTTCATGAACTCTCTCGCCCTTTGTAGTCTGATCTCTCGCCCAGCGCTCGCTGTCTCTTCACCTTATATTCACCATTAACAGCGAACAAGAGGTCCTCACAAGATATTTACATTCCGTTTTTTCCAATGATGAGTCAGCTAGCACCTGCAAATTGATTTGCCTAGATCCCATAATCTTCATGGTAAATAGCGTCTTCGGGTAGAATAGTTCAGACCGTGTCAACGCTTCAGCTTGTCCCACTGGCACATTTTTCACATCAAGTGGGAGCCCGTTCTGAGCATGCACAATTGATACCCACATTTGTACCGTGAGTATGCATGGATGGGGCCATTGAAAGGGTGATAGTGGCCCTAGTAACAGTTTTGCATGGAACTCCAACTTTCAGAGACCGTGAGAGAACATCGACGGACTTAATCTATCAGTGATGATGTCAGAAGAGAATAATTACCTTTAACACACTGCTTGCCCGTAACATTATAGTAGAACCCTTCGGCACAATTACAGCTATAGTTCCTGAAGCCATGCATTTCACAGTCGTATTCGCCAGCTGGACAGAAGGACGGCTTTGGATCGAGGCAGAAATTGTGGTCTGGAAAAAGTTTTTGATAGGTTAAAAATGCTGGAGAAAATAGAAACTAGTAGAAAACTTGCTGCTACCTCAAATCGGCTAAATAGTGGGAACGGTACTGCGGGATGAACGCCCACGTATGTCCGACCCAGATTTTAAGTGTGTAGGAGATTAGTTCCACGTTGCAGGGACGCTTACAATCTAGTAAACTATTTCCTAGCTTTGTCCTGACACGTTCCACCATAAGCCCACTTAGTTATTTGGGTCCTTGTGCGAACGCCGCTTAAGTGACCAAGGTACAGCGGTTACGTGACAACTTGAATTTCCCTGTATGGTGGCTGCAGTCGCATTAGAAAGCGATGAAAATGAGAGAACGCAGACAAGAGCAGAAAACTGGAGCGATCAAAGGGACTTATGGGAGTCCAAGTTGTTCGTAGATCGGGACGTTGGACTAAGCATCATGGTTAGGCGAGGATTCGAATCAAGAACATGTATTTAGATGGGCAGGTGGCGATCTGTGCTTCAAGAAGAATTTTTTACGCGAAGCCGTGAAAAACAAGATTTAAAAGTAGGAAAATTTTCGGGAACGCCGGAAAAACTGGTAGGAATTTGGAATATCTAAGAAAGTGGTTGGTAGGAGAAGGGTATCGTGTTTTCTTCGCATTTTCCCCGTTTCGTGTACTATTACACCCCTCCTCTCCTCCGTACAGCCCGATTGTACCAGAGAGGGAACTGGAGGGAGGGGGAGGGTTGTCGTATCAAGCCACCATTCAGGGGGGGGCGTACAGACTCGCCCGAAATTCCCAACTAATGATGTGACGTGTGCAAGACTGCTGTATAAGCACTATGCTAGATAGCTGATTGGAGATGAGCCCCCTGACAAATTAGGAGTTGGAAGGGTTTGGTGGCGTAGTAGGTAGGTTGTGAGAGGGGGATCGTTTTGAAAGAGAAAATGGTTAGAGTCGTACTGAAGGGGAATGACCCCGTCCGTCCGCCCATCGCGATGCTCTTGCTGCACCCGGAACGTGACCCCGCTTGCAATGCTCCTTTTGTCTCCCGTGTTGCATTGTGGAAGTGATGCCCCCCCCCAACTACTTTTTAATATCTGGCTCTCATGAAGAAAACAGATCAACTCACACTTTTCGCATCGTTCTCCTTCATACTCATGACCACAGGTGCATCGGAATCTGGACGCCATGGCGATGTCAGCGGTACAGACGCCACCGTGCATGCATGGGTGCAACTCACATGGATCTGGAAGGAATCGCTTTTTCCAGCTCTTGTTCGGAACATGGTCAAGTGTGTCGCTACATTGTTCTTTGCTTACGCTGGGAGCGTAAGGGAGCCTGGTTTGGCGCGGTGCTAG